GAAAATAAGGTTCAGCAATTGCAACATCCTTGAGATCAACCTAAGGACTTCAGCGTATTTTTGCAGTGAGTAGGTATTTCATAGTGCAACGGTACTCACACTTTGTTGGTACACCATATATCAAAACTACCATTCCTCACAAACACCTTATGAATGCCTGTCATATCGTGACCTATAGCAGATCTCCATTTAAAACATGTTTTATTTAAAAACTAAAGTCTTTAGAACTCCAGTGAATTTGGATCAATTTAGCTACCACAATCCCTTCTAGCCTACAAATCCACATTTGGCAGGCTAATAACAAATGATCAAAAGAATTTATGAAGGGATCAGCCTGCATTTTAGTAGGAGATAATCTAGTTACTAAACCAACAGATACCTTTAGAGAAAACAAACAAGCTTTCACACTCACAAGACCTGAAAAAAATGTGTACGTCTGAAAGCTTAATTACTTTCACGTAACTGCACCAACTGCTGTAACAATGAAAAAGTTTAATTCTGTCTACAAACTTTTCTTATGTCCTTAAGACCTCATCCTATAACATTTCCTTTTATCTTTCAGCATCAAAAAATTGGATCTTTCTTTGTCCCACTTTGTCTCTCTCAGGTTTGCTAATGTTAAGGTATACAAGTTTCATTTGCTTGGGTAACACTTTCACAGGGAGAGTCGGATGTTTCTAGCGCAGTGCGGATGGCAACTACCAGCACCGCACAAAACTGCACCCTCATAATGGAAGGAGACAAAGCAATCTCCCAACTCTGCGTCAAACTAAGTGAAGCAGAGCTATCGTCCTCTTCTAGATGAAAAGGTAAGTCCCACCGCCTTTTCTGCATACTGTGATGCTTCTTGCACACCACTGCTACCACACGGATGGCCAGCCTGCAGCTCTCAAGCAGTTCAAGCACAGCTCCCTCTGCTCTAGTTCTTCTCTCCTATCACCTCTGCAAGGGATGTGGCACATCTACTGCTGCTTTCAGCCACATGAAGATCTACAGAGAAGGCTAGCAGTAGGAGATGGCCACTCTATTTTCTCTGCATACAGAAGGCAGGGAAAAAACCCCAAAACCACCACACCAAAGAAACCCATGACTTCTACTTAAGAACTTTTGCTTACCCTTTCAAAAAGCCCTTTCTTAGCTCTGTTTTTAACTCACCAGCATGACTATTTAATAGACAGGACAAAAGCTTGATTACATACATTTTCTCCATTGGTAATTCCTATCTAGCTGTGATATATCAAAAGGACCCCACTAGAAAATGAGAAACAACTTTACTTCCAGAAGTTTCCAGATTAAGAATCATCACTCTAGCCAGGCCTCTTGTTGGAAATAACTATTATGAGAACAAAGCTGCTTTAAGAGACGAGGAATGCTCTAAAGCTCTTCATGTCTTAAGAACTGAGTGATGGTAAGAGAACAAGTATCACTCTACATACTTTTCCACCATGCTTCATAAGTCTGAAGACAGCAGGCAGAACATCTCAAAAGCCTGAACTCTCTCCTAACACAGATCAGCCCTTTAGTGTAATACAAATGCGCAAGACAACCACCAGCATTAATTTCCGAGTTCATTTTCTCCAAACAGTGGCTTATTCTTCTCTTTCAAAAGTAAACCCAGCCAAGTGTGATGTGTTTAAGTTGCATTTAGATTTATCTAAGAAAAAAACATTTCAAGTACAATGTAACAAGGAAAACGTTACCTCAAGTTAAATGCAATTTCATTCGCGCTCTCTTAAAAAGTAAGTTTTGGATTGTGAGCTCCGCGAAAGGCCATACCGAAGTGGAGCGTAACATTCAACCTTGTTATGCAACTACAGCTACTCATCTCTCTCATCATTTCAGTAGTATACTGCCAAACATACTATTTTATTTAATAAAACCTACACTGTTCTGAAGTTCAAAGACCAGTACTGTTCTCTTGATTATGCTAAACTGTCTTAAGAAATACGCAGTCCCAACATACCAAATGCCCTGGACTTGTTCATAGACAAGTTAATTTGAGATCACAAAATGCAATGGGATCAGAACACCTTTGAACTTCCTGACCAGTATTTTAGCCAGATCGCCTCAAAGCATTGTTTTCTATATAATAAAACTTTTTTTCTTCTTTCAGTTAAAGGAAATTAAGAATACTGTATCTAAAACTTCATCATTCAACTTCACGTTAAATAACATTTGAGCTCCTGCAATGTTTCCCTAATAGACTTAATAGAAGGGAGACAGATTTTCTGATACTAGTATCGAGTTCCTTTATTCTTGCCACATGTAAGTTTCTACATAAAATTTAAAGTTCTCAGATTTTAAAGTTTTCAGAATTAGGGGGCATCAAATGAAACTAACACCTGGTGAAATAGAGCTGATTTTTTACCCATTGTATATTAAGCTGTCAAACTTCCTATTACACAAAGCTTTGAAGCCTAAAAGTTTACAGAGGTTCAAAAAAACACACACGGAAATTCCACGGTGGGTGAGAAAAACACACCTATCCAAGATATCAAAAACCAAAGATGTCACTTCAGACCCAGCGTGTTCCTAAACCATACTCTTCTTGATGATGAAAGAGAGATACTTCTGAAGCAGTACCTCCTCACTGCATTTTTGCCCTTATATTCATCCATATGCATCTGCTATTCAATATTGGGGGAACTTGTATACCAAGCTAAATTGATGCAGTGTAACTGTTCTTCTGACTGTCATACTATCTCAATTCACAGAGACCATGATTTTCAGTCTTTGGTTCAGAGTTATCACAAAGGCACAATGACCTGTTGCAAGCCACTGAATGGGAAAGCCTGAAAAAAACCACACCCCAACAACAACAACAAACAACCATTAAATGGCAACAGAATAATCTAACACTAACAAAGCTGCTGCTCTTCCTGGTCCACAAAGTATCTCAGACCCTGGTGATTCAGATTTTGTGTGCAGTCTCCAAAATCTGTCACTGAAGCTTTTTTTTCCCCCTAATTTGAAAAACTACAGCATGATTCAATTGTACCACTTATAAACAATATTCAAAGCTTTCCCTAAATATCATCAGAGAGGCAGCCTCCAAACTTTGGATAAGAAGTTGCTAAGACACATCTAAATACCACAAACTAAGAACTTAAATCTGAAATTCATGACACTACTGTCTTCATTGACAAAACAACCCACCAGATTGCCTACAGCACATTACTTGCTTAGCACCTGTTCCCTAAGCCAACAAAGACTCTACTGTTAGAGAATGCACTAAATTTAAAAAAAAAACCAAACATTGCATTTCTGGCCAACTGAAATACTCTACTTTCACAGTCAACAACGAAGCAGTTTGCTATAACATTCTGAAAGAAAGTGATGATCACTAGTTATGGGACGTTAAAGAATGCAAAACCAAAAAAGGTCCCAAACATCTGACTAGTCCTACTGCATTCAGAAGAATGGGTACAAAAGTTACATCAATTAAATTGCTATGATAGCTGGTATATTAAGCAATGCTTGACAATTAAGAGTAATTCATATGACTACGTTACTGGGAAAGTGGAGTTTTTAAATCTAAACAAAGAAGGTAAGAGAACCCCTAAAGGATGGGAATTTTTACATGACTAAACATATACTTAGCTCAAAATAAAGTCACCACTGCAGAAGCTTTTCTCAGATGTCAGTGATGTTAAAAAGCTGTGGCCACAAGGATCCATACTCCTTGAAAACAATTTGAGCTCTATTTTGTTTTAAATTAGGTCAACAGACACTTATAGCAAAGTCTAGCTTGAAAACTGTTATTATCTTTTGCTGGAAGTCTCTCCAAAACGGATGACCCGCATAAGCATTCAAATCTCTTTTCCACACCTCGCTGTAATCTAACTTCTACAGGCATCAATATTCACCTGTCATTCTTATCTTACAACATAAGATACTACCTTCATCCTATTTTTTAGTATCTCAAGTTTCTTCTCACCGGACAGTTATGAAATGGTTATCTTTCTCAAACTTGTCAGCAAATTTGGTATTAAAAACACACATAAGTATTACACTCAATCCCTTTTCATCCAAGTCTCCATCTAGCACTTCAAAGTCATCTCACCTACTTCTGTTCAGACATAAAGAAGAAAGCTCTTCATCTTGCTCCTTTCTGAAATCTGCCATTTTGACCTTTCCAAACAGGATCTCATGTTCCAGAAGTCAGCACCGTTCAAGGTCACAAGAACTGAAGAAAAGGGGAGGGAACCATATAAGAACGAGCTCAAAAGGCTTTCAGGAAGCAACAGCGAAAGCTGCCATAAACAGCAGTAAGGATCAGTTCGTAACTGGAAAATTTAAACAAATAGTTCAGAAAACATTAACAAAAAATATTGGACTCATGAGACCGATGAGAGGAGTTTTGAAGAAGTTTTGAAGAAATGTACAGCTCTCAAAAAAAACCCCAACATAAATTGGCACAGAAAATAAGAGAGATGTCCCTCACTGACAAAGAATAGAGAATTATTCAGACCGGTTACCAACTGAGTACGTAAAGGGAAAAAGAAGGCAGAGTGTTAGAAAATGTTCTTTTAAGCAGTGCATCTTACACTAATTTCTCAAAAGGAAAAACTAGAAAACATTATCACTTGAACAAAGCTCTGCAGAACAGACTATAGGGCTATATAACAATACCATGACCTCCAAGTGGAAAGAGAAATTCTATCTAGCCCACAACTTTATAGGTTCCACAAATCAAAATCACAGACTGGTCAATCTGAACCATCTATCAGATGGCTCACAAACATCTTCCCTGTTAGACATTTAATTCTAATAGCACTGCACAAGTCTATTGATCTTCCATTGTACTCTAACTGAAGGACTTGGGTAACTCCCAGAGCAAATCAGTGAAGAGTTAAATAAACCTCTACTAACATACCAGTCTGTTCAGGAGATGTAAAGACAACCATCACCTATTGAAAACTAATGTTTTCAGACCCTCAACTTTCATAATCACCAGCTTCAGGAGACTGGAAGTCACCTACTTTCATCGTAAGAGGGGAGAAAACTCTCTCTCACTCTCTGATCCTGCAGTTTAATGAAGGATAACTTAGATCTCAAAAACTTGTACAATTCAAGACAAAGCTCTAGTAAAACTTTGTTTTCTATTACTTTCTCATTTGAGGAATACAGAACTCCATGTTTTAAAATGAAGCCAACTAAGAGGCAAAAGCTCCACAAAACTCACCTATAGCATCCCACATTTCTTGTCTAACTACACAACAGCATGTTAGAGGGATTTCAATGCATCATGACAATACCTGCCAAGCCACACTTTACACAAGTGAAAAGCCATTCTACTTAAAATAATCTCAAGATAAATTTGCTGTATTAGTTTCTAGCTCAAAGCTGCTCTATACACCCTCACAAAGAAAATTCTCCTCCGAGAATAAAAAAAGGAAAAAAAAAAAAAAAAGTAAGGAGAGCTACAAGAGGGAAAGTACAGACTACTACACACCCTTTTTCTTTCAAGGACACTACTGTTGTTGCTTCTGGGGGGGAAGGTACAAAAATCCCTGAGCATTACCAAGGTCACATTCTGAGTTTTCAAAGTTGGTCTGCGTTTCTGCCATAGAACAGCAAGAGCGCGTTAGGAACAAGAATTACCTTATCATTCTTGCCTGCAGTAGTGTGACAAGGGGGAAAAAAGAAAAGGCACGTTATGCATGTAACACAGTAACTTGTAGTGCTGCTCTTAAGAGACACCGTTCAACACGCATCCAAGATCAGTGCTCCCTGAAAACACTGAGGACTGTACACAGCTGTCCTTGACATTATTCAAAATATACACCTGTGAACTACTAACCTAAATTCACTTACCACTGGAAGGACTGGGGGATTTAGCAGTTGCCTTCTCCTGTGGCTGCATCTCCTCTTCTTGCTCCAGATTCCTTGTCGTAACGGTATCCTCCATATTCTTTGGCACCTGATTCTCCTGCTGAGTCACCAGCGTGTCAACCCCTCTCTCTTGAAGTGGTGGCTGACTCCCTATTATCATTATGTGTCCTAATTCTGAACAACCCGGATGTTTTTTGGTACACAACGCCACTTCCGATGGAACGTCACACTTAAGAAACAAATTGTTGTGCTGTTCCAGTAACTCCCCTACAGAAGGCTTAGACAAAACTTTATTAAGCTTTGGCATGTCTTCCGAAGCAGCCTTAAAGGACAGTTTATCCATGCTCTTTGCCTCTCCAGTGCCAAAAGTACAACTTTTTGAAGTTTCTTTTTCCTGGCTTTCTGGACCAATCTCTTCTAGTTCTTGGGCCTGATCAGATGAATTTTTGCTATTTTTACAAGAACCATCAGCAAATTCCACTTCCATATCTTCATGACACTGCACTTCCCTTTCAAGAATAAACCTCTGAGAAAGCATTACATTAACAAGGGACCCATCTTCATTTATTTGCTTCTCTTTTACTTGCAGTTTTTCTTCTTGTTCTTCACACTGAGTCTCAGGAACTGCCTCAGTTTCAGAAGTCTCTTCCGATGGATAATCCTCAGACTGTGCTTCTCCACCCTGAGTGTATGACAAAATCTCAGGCAGACCAGACTGATCTGCAGCAGCCTGACTTCCAGACATACGCTCAGTCTCCTGATGAGCTGTAGGGGCTAATGACCCATCTCCTGCTACATCTGCACTAACTACCTGCATTACAGGCTTTCCTGCAGCCTGCAAATCATCCTTTTTTGCTTTTTCACAGTTTTCAGAGAGGGCTTGATCACCTGCATCCAGCCTCAGTTTTATGTTGTCATTGTCCACAGAACAGAGTCTCAAGTCTGAGGCCTTGCATTCAGAAATCATCTCTACCTGTGTGATTTCACTATCTTGGCCCATGTTCAGAGAGCCTGAACTGACCTCTGTATTTGTGGGCTGGCTACATTCACTTGCAGAAAGCATCAGCTTACAGGACTCAGAAGCCTGTGACACAGAGTCACCTGTAGACATCTTTGACAAAGCATCTGTGGGTCCAGAGAGATCTCCTGGTAAGGATAAATGGGTTAAAGCAGCAGCTTTTTCTTCTCCTTCATGCTTCTTCTCTGGGGTCTGAGTTGGAACAAAGATATCCTAAAATGAAAAAAGTGGGACACAGAGCATCAGGGCATGCAAAGTAGACCTGTTTATTTGTTATTCCCAAAACATTACACTGGATTGTGGAGCAGAACAACCTCCACACAAAACCACAGATTCAAAACAAAACCAAACCAAAACAACCAACCACAAACTCCCCCCCCATTTATATGATTCATAATTGCCCTGTTCTTGCTGAGAAAAATTATCACCACCCATTACTTTTTAGTACCTCTGTGGCAAAGTCCTTGGTACACCTCTCACACTACCAAATCATGAAGTACAGGTCAAGTATGGCAAATTAGTAGCTACTTTAGTCAAACAAGTAAGGGTTCTAGAAAGATTTTCTGGAGGAGTCTTTTATATTAGCATGAAAGCCACTTTCAGGTAAGGAGAAGCCCTGCTTCGACTACTGAAGTCTCTAGTACAACCTTTATTTTCTGCCTTAAGTTGATGAAATTTGTAATATTAAGCTATAAAGCCACCAACCGTCTGTTAAATCCCTTTGAACAATAGTAACTTCCAGAATCAAAAAGCACAAAGGAAACCACAGATAATAAGAATAAGCAACTTGAAAAATGCAGTAAACGAAGTCTAGCCTTGTAGGAGAATACAAATGCTGTATTACAAAACAGCCTCACTTTCTCCACAACAAATGATGCTAAGGACTATCCTGATAAAAGTCTAATTTATGATGCAGTTTGAGATGCAGGATGCCCAGTTCAGCATCAGAAAGCAGCAGCCTTTCAAAGAGAGAAAGGAAAAAAAAAAAAAAAAAGCACAAAAAGGGTTTCTAGCATAGATTAGAAGAGAACAAATTCTAAGTTCAGTAACTCACTATGCCCTCTTAAGCTGTTCCGCATTTTCTCTGTGGGACAAACCGCCACACAGTATGATCAATGTGTAACTGTGACTGGTGGGAACAGGGAAGCTCATGAGAACCAGCTTAGCAGGGAAGTTCAACACAGAAGCACAGAGGCTGACTCAAACACACATCTTCTGCAACAGCCATATAAAAACCTCAGAAGAGGTATCTACATGAACCCTTACATGAGAGAACTCTGGTTGTGATGGTATAGATAAAGATCCAGGAAAGAAGGTGGGGGTGCTCTGGGACACTGGAGTCGAAGCCTGTGGCGGGACAAGAGGTCCTGGTGGGATGCATGGGATAGCCATCTCCACTAGCTTATCTCCTCTCTGCTTCTGCATCAGCTCTCTTCCTTCTGCAGGGATAGATATATCCATCTGTTCATCTGGTTTGAAAGAACAGAAAACACATTACTAGCAAATTCTTGCATTGTACCTAAAGTTTCCAACATTCTATTAAGAGACTTGTCTTCAGTGGTGTACGCAACTTTCTCATACTTTAATGGGTGAATCTAAGATCTTCTCTCCAGGTGAGTTCTTTTGGGGGGTGGGGGGAGTGGAATCCACAGAAAATTTAAATTTAAGAGGGGGGAGAAAGTGTTTTGTTAAGAATTCATATAACTATTTTGCTACAGGTCTACAACTTCTACAGTTAGAAAAGGTATCCGAAATTTATAAAAAGCGTTTCTCTGAGTTTTTTTTTCCTTTTGCTATCTTTATTAAAATGCAACCAAATTCAGACCCTGGCTAACAAAATACCTATTCTAAAAGTACTTCACGTTCTGTGACAGGAATCTCACAGAAAACAATGGTGATCTTGTTATCATACTAAAAGCGTGCCTGGATGGATATCTTATCCCTGATGGCGAACAGGTGCATAGAGAAAATGTTTCAGAACCAAGGTATCATATAGAACAATCCCTCTTTTGGCATGGCATTCTAGAATACATACATTTAACATACAAAAGCTTTTTAAAATATTGTGCAAGTCATTCAAGTTAAGGTAAAATGTTATGATGCAGTCTTACTCCATCCTTTCTGTTGCCTTAACAGTATATACTTACTACAGATCTCTGCCTATAGCAAGAATGGCTTGTCCCTAAGAAAGGAGGACAACTGCAAGCAGCAATCTGTATCCCATATGACATATTTCCCATCTTTCAAGTGAAGGGAAGCTAGCCGATGGTACTAATTTTATTATGATAGCTATGCAGGAAATATCGACAGCACATCAGCATCTGAGTCACAAATACAGAACTCCCTTCATCTACCTCTTTCAGTGTTCTCAATCCTGCTTTACTCTTTAAATATAATTTTAGCAGGTTTTGAAAAGGGTGCATGCTCAGACTAAACCACAGAGCACAGAAACACAATGACAGACCAGTATGCAGAAAACTTTACCTTTTGCTTGCTCCTGTTCAGTAGGACTGCTGGGGACAAGAGCATTGGATCCAAAGGCATCAGGAGAAGGAATAACTAGGCCTGAAGAGACACTGCAGACCAAGAAAAGGGAATATGGAAAAGACCACACATCACTAGAAAATGCATTAACTTCTCCCCAAATGCACCTCCAGCTTGTCACAATAGGAGTCTTCCATAAAAGAGAAGACTTGTTCGCTAGCAAGAGACTTGAGAAATGGCCATTGACCACATGAGCATCATTAGTTCACCGCAAAATAGAACCATGCTCCTCTCATAGTGCAAAATTAAAACATCGATTACTTAAAATCAAGCACAAGTCCTTGAATAAAGAAAAGAGTGGTGGAAATGCACTATTGCAATGAAGCTATTGCAACAGTCTGGGGATTTTTTGCTTACGTGGAATGACTCTCCTGTACAGACTCTCCCTGTCCAGAGAGCTGCAGGAGTTGCAGACTGCGGGCAGGGGTGCACGCCAGAGAACTTCCCTCTTCCACCCTGGTTATTGGACAGCCACTCCCTGCAGTGGTTTTGAACAAAAGGAAGTAAGATTAGAAAAGTGGCCAATAACCAAGTCGATCAGAAAATTCTGAGGAATGATATTCACACTACTGCACAGTTACTTCTTAGGTAGGCAAGGACAAGCTGATTCTCACACAGAGGTTGGAGAAGGACTGCACATGAAAGTTCAGTATGTGAAATGTGAGCATAATATAGTTAATATGAAGAAGGTAAGTTTGTATCTACAGAATACATTTTTACCAGGCCAGACTGTACAAGTCTTCCTACTTGGGAATTTTAAAAGAAAAATCCCCAATGGCTCCAATATCAGCACACTTGACCCAACACTAGAATGCAAATACAGGCAAGGTTCTTAAAAGAAAAGACACCTTGCACTGACCACTGACTCAGTGCGAGTAGGAGGCTGTTATTGAACCTTCTGGATACAGAGGGTTCACGCACAAGACTGTACTGGTATAGACACAGTTGTGCACATATTAAAACTAAACAAAAAGCGTAAAGCATGACTAAATGAAGTCTCACTTTATAAACTGTGACAAAGTTGCCTTTCAAAACTTTATTTTCTAGGCCTTTCATTATTAAGATTGTTAAGAACCTTTGTATTTCTTCATTAGCCTTTCAGTTATCTACCAAAACCAGATATAGACATCCTCCTAGCAAGACATACACTGATGACCTCTCTCCTGATCCTATTTCATGTAATCATTTCTCTTACAGGGAAGGAACATTAACCTAGATGATAAATAAGACCGATCAAAACTGTGGTACAAAGATTTTGATTGCAGAATCCTATCCTATCCCAAACAGGAAGGCCAATTCAGAGGAGTAAGGTGGAATGTTTTGCCAAAGCTACCCAGCATAAAAAAGTCTACAATATTTGCCTAGGCTACTTATCCACACTTTAGATTCCGTGTCACTACAAAGGGTGAGCATTATTATTGCCAGTTTCAGAGGAGGGCAAAAGGGGTTTTTTTTTGTTCCGTTCTTCAAGGGGCACAGAAAGAAAGGAAATGAAATGTATTTAACAAGCCAGTGTAACTGTTCTAACAAGAAGTGACATCTAGACATTGCTCCATAGTATACTGAAAGAGGTTGTGGCCTTTCATTTCCAAAGTGTTCTCAATTTTAGCAGAAATTACATGAAAAATATTCACAGCACTCTGCACCCTAAAAGACTACATGCCTAAAACGATGGTAGGGATGATGATTATGATGATCTTTGGGATGGACATTTTGGCTCTACTTGTCTATTGTTACCTGTTGCATTATTCTCAGGAAACATCTCTTCCTGAGTTGACAAGATATCCGACTCCTCATGACCAGAATCAAGGGATTTCTCAGTTTTAGTGGGGTCACAGACAGGCTTTTGTTTCCTGGTATGTTCTTCTGCTTCCTGCAGAATTCTGGGAAAGCAAGACACAGTCACTGAAGTGAGAAATTCGAAGTATGAAGTAATACTGCAACATTGTAAAGAAAATTTATTAGCACAGCTGAAAAGTATTCACTTGTGTAT